ACAGTACATATGTTCAACGAGACTATCAAGGTGCTGAAGCTGATGAACAAAGAACTGGCTGAAATCAGGGAGGTGGTCTTACAAAACCGATATGCCTTAGATATTATGCTAGTAACTAAAGGAGGCGTTTGTGCCCTCATGCACTCACATTGTTGTACCTATGTATCTGATTATCAGTATAACATCACTCACACCATAGAACATATGGAAAACATGATCAAAAACAATCCTTTATCATCCGATGGATCTGGCGCCATTGACATCTGGGCTGCCCTTTGGTCATGGCTCCCGGATGGTTCTTGGTTGAAATCAATTATGCCAACTATTGTATCTATACTCATACTGCTTGTTTTGCTTTGTTGCTGTATCCAATGTCTCCCCTCCCTTCTGCAAATGTGCAAAGGTTTTATTCCCTCCAATAGGAAGGACGTCTTGATAAGTGAAACCAAAGCCCTTCTGGAACTGGAGGAAGCCAATCTCAACAAAACAGAAAAGGAGGAGATGTGGGAATAGTTGTATAGAAATATACTTGCATATCAGAATTATCCGTAGGCCTTGCCACAGCAGGGAAATAGGATGTTGACATCATCTGGAAAGTCCCGACTGCTCAGACCAAGAAATACCTACATGATTATTCTCGTACCAGCCTGGGAAGGGTCGTACCAGCCTGGGAAGGGTCTACGTAACTACTATAATATGAGTATATGCAACCCGATCATGTAACCACCCCCAATCCCGCCTTGCTATGATGCTGTATAATGAGTTTTATGAATTTCTAATAAAAGGGGGTCACGGAGTCAGCTCTGGGCTCCCATCCCGAGATACCTGTTTGCGTGTCTCATTTCTCTCATGGGAGACCACCACAGGCAGCTTAGTAATTAATACCAGGGGTGAAATCCAGCAGGTTCTGACAGGTTCTGGAGAACCAGTAGCGGAAATTTTGAGCAGTTTGGAGAACCGGTAGCGGAAATTTTGAATAGCTCAGAGAACCGGCAAATATCACCTCTGGCTGGCCCCAGAGTGGGGTCAGAATGGAGATTTTGCAATATCCTTCCCCCTGGAGTGGGGTGGGAATGGAGATTTTGCAGTATCCTTCCCCTGGAGTTGGATGAGAATGAAGATTTTACAGTATCACGCCCACCAAGCCACATCCACCAAGCCACACCACACCACACCATGCCCACCAAGCCACGCCCACAGAACCGGTAATAAAAAAAATTGGATTTCACCACTGATTAATACATATTCCTGAAGGCTGCTACTCTGACCATTTTCTGGCCTTGATATTTGACTTTGAACTGAGGGTTAGATTCCAGGCATATTCGGCAAAATGCCAGGCAGGAATAGAGAAAAACATCTCAGCACTATCTCCCAACAATCCAATTTATATTGCAAAACCAGTGCTACAATTTCAGAGGAGAGGATTTTTTTCAGAGTAATAACAATCAGAGATCTTTCTCTGACCGGCAGCTAGTGAAGAATGTCAAAATACAGTACGGGGTAGTCCTCGACTTACGACCATGACTGAGTCCACTGTTGTTAAGTAAGACATTTGTTAAGTTAGTTTTGCCCCATTTTATGATCTTTCTTGCCACAGTTGTTAAGTGAATCACTGCAACTGATAAATTATTAACACGGTTGTTAAGTGAATCTGGCTTCCTCATTGACTTTGCTTGTCAGAAGGTCGCAAAAAGTGATCACATGACCTTGGGACACAGCAACGGTCATAAATATGGTTCATAAATTTGAACCAGTTACCAGCATCTGAGTTTTGATCAAATGATCATGGAGCAAAGGTCGTAACTGTGAAAAACGGTCATAAGTCACTATTTTCAGTGCTATTGTAACTTTGAATGGTCATTGAATGAAGTGTTATAAGTTGACAACTACTTGTACTAGCATCAGCAGCAAACATTGCCAATAAAATGTAAACCATCTCCATTATGATAGAAGTTAGAGGTATTCATATGAACCCTGTACAGTTATCTTTGCCATTAAATTGGAACTAATACTCTAATAAATCAATTATGGAGTTGAGTTTCATTTTTTCCAAAAAAATTATATTAAGAACGATCAATGGAAAGAATAATACGCAAAATACGCAAAATTAAAAAGAAAAAGAAAAAAGAAAAAGACAAGAAAAAGAAAGAAGAAAAAGTAATTTCTTCCTTCTTCCCAACAAGAAACAATTTCAGTAACTTATCACCATCTCTAAATACAAAGTGAATGTTGAGTTTCAGACGTCCACTCTTGATATGTGAGACATAAACATCACCAATGACCGTTCACAAATATCTTAAATTACAAGAGGTTTGGACACAATGGTGGCAATGGTTGCATGATCAAACCTCTGAGCCTTTTTAACACATGTATGTTTGCAATGCATGTAAAAATGGGCAGGGACTACAGCTCATGTAGTCACAGCCGCCATCCTGACTTCTGACCGCATGGATATCCTTGAATATGGAAATTTTAGCATCTGTTACTTAATTAAAGATTATTTATCGGGGTTATATTCTAATTCTTTTCCAATAGCCAGATCAAGGTTTATGTTAAGAATGCATAAGGGAAAATTAGCAGAGGTGGGTTTGAAGTATCAGTTCATGTAGGTTAACTCCAGGTAATGCAATCTTTACGGTGATGGAGAATCTCTGCCAGGTTTCGGGAGGTTTTATAACCCCACAGTAATCCCAGTAACCTAGCAACCAGATCCCAAAACACAAGGCTCACAGGGCTCTCCTTATATCAGCTAAAAAACAAATGCAACTAAGTGAATGATAGATCTCAATCCCAAAGGTGCTTTTTTCAGGAGGCAACCGGACTCTCTTGTTTTTTCTTTTGAAGATGTTTAGCTTCTCATCCAAGAAGCTTCTTCAGCTCTGAAGGATGGTGGGGAATGGAAGGATTTATATTCCTTGTGGAACGCTGGTAATCTGCATCCTTTTCATTGAAGTCATTCAAGCACTTGAAGGGTTTATCTGTGTCCCCAGGGTCACCTGAGTAGTACTCCTGGTTTGCAATTTCTACAGACTTTTAGCTGTACAATTTGAGATGAACACCCTTTGAATGGTGTGGGAGAAGGAAGATTTGCAGAGAAAAAATTGCAGACTACAGGAACTAGGTGATCCTGATAAACCTCCAACTGCTTCAATGACTTCAATGAAAAGGATGCAAATTACCAGCTGTCTACAAGGAATATAAATCTTTCCATTCCCCACTATCCTGTCAGAGCTGAAGAAGCTTCTTGGATGAGAAGCGAAACTCTTCAAAAGAAAAAACAAAAAAGTCCAGTTGCCTCCTGAAAAAAGCACCTTTGGGACAACCATGACCTGGATGACTGAGAATCTCTACAGACTGATAGGTCTCAATGCCAGGAAGAAAAATCCAGCACAGGCAACTGGATCTGGGCCTATATTAGAGAAAGGCTGGACAAAGCCCCAAATGTGTCCTCGAAATCATGGCATCTGTTAAATGAGCCATCTCAGTTGGCCTTTGGGTGAAGCAGTTTCTGCTTCAGTAATGATGTCTCACTGAAGGATCCGGGTGATGATGGATTGGTACAAGTCATTTATTCTTCCATAACTCTCTGTGAAAGCTTTAGAATAGAAACTTCACTGTGGGAAATCCAAATTTAAGACAAAGAGGAATTTTCTGATCGTGATCACAAATAGGCTGCCTCCTTTGGCAGTACATGTACCATCACAGGAGGTTTTCAAGCAAAGGTTGAATAGCTTATTTGTCTGGGATAGCATAAGGATTCCTGCCCTGGGCAGGGAGATAGATTAAAAGAGTGTAACTCAAACTTGGCATCTTTTAAGAAGCATAGACTTCACATAGACTACAATTTCCAGAATTCTTCAGTCTGCATGCTGAAGTAGGAGACCTCTGAGTCTTCTGGAGTAGAAGATGTTTTGAGATCTTCTAACTTTAGGAGCTTAGCACCTCATTTTTTCTCTCAGGATAAAGCTATTCACATTCTACCTTATAATTAAAGGTGCACGGTGCAATTTGCCTACTTCTGTTATAACAGCTGGGTCTGTAATTATCTGTAATTGTCTATAATAGGTCTGTAATTATCTGAATCAGATTTTATATCATTCCTATATATTGATATATTTGAGGACAATTAGCCAAATATATTGAACTAACAATGTAAGATATGAAATACGGTGCATATAAAAATGGCTAGACCTTCAATCACACTGGTACCTGACCCCATCTTCAGAGGTGGGTTTCAGCAGGTTCTGACCAGTTCTGGAGAACCGGTAGCGGAAATTTTGAGTAGTTCGGAGAACCGGTAAATGCCACCTCTGACTGGCCCCACCCCCATCTATTCTCTGTCTCCTGAGTCCTAGCTGATTGGAAGGAAATGGGGATTTTGCAGTAACCTTCCCCTGGAGTTGGGTGGGAATGGAGATTTTACAGTATTCTTCCCCTGCCATGGCCACCAAGCCATGCCACGCCCACCAAGCCACGCCCACATAACCAGTAGTAAAAAAAATTAAAAACTACCACTGCCCATCTTCACTTGTTTGACTACCTAAGGATACCTCTGATCTAACAATGTAAAGAACTGAGGTTACTGTCTGTTTCATGGCAAACAAATGAAATTAAACCATTGGATTTTCCCTACTGTTCTATTTGGAGAACTCGGCAATAATGAGGAGGCTCGGCAATGAACTCAACACTTTATTGAATAACAGTAACTCAGGAAAAACCACAACAAGTGCGTCAGCAAAAACCCAACCAGTTGCCCTCTGACAGCTGCTTAAATATCGGCTGTCAGATCGGCGGTAACCAATAAGAATGTAGCATTTTCCCGCTGGCTGCCTGCTTGCGTCTAACCCAATCAGAGCAGGGCAGCAACAAGGGAGGTTTCAGCGGAGGTCGTAATAGCGAGGACTTAACACCTACCTTTTCCCCGTTTAGCTTATAACTACCCATAGGCTTTCTTTCTTATGTCCACAGCTCAATATGGCCCTCCAAAGTTTATTACCCACCTGGGAATTCACAAGGCGGAGTGTTGTTTTTGTGCCCACATCATGTTCATACCCAGTAGTTGGGGCGCCATTGAAACGAAGGACAGCATTATGGGAATCTGAGAAAATGAGACAATAAGGGTAAGAAAGAGTAAAAGCAGGTAGATCCTGTCCCTAGGTCTTCCCTTCCTGGTTTATTTTACAATAACATTCCGTTCCTCAGAGCAAGATGAGGTTGAGAAAACAGCCACATAGCTGGCGTGGCCTGACTTCTCCTTTATTTAATGTCCCTGCTAACCAGGGCTACATTAAAATCTTTGCAGGCCCTGGGACTGCAAAGTGGCTCAGTGCCACTCGGTGCCTGGCTAGGTGGCTCAGTGGCTAAGGCGCTGAGCTTGTCAATCAGAAAGGTTGGCAGTTCAGCGGTTCGAATCCCTAGTACAGGTCTCCTGCATGAGCAGGGGGTTGGACTAGATGACCTCCAAGGTCCCTTCCAACTCTGTTACTGTTACTGTTACTGACTTGCCATTGCCTTCTTCCTAGGGCTGAAAGAGAGTACTTGGCCATGGTCATCCAGATGGTTTTTGTACAAAGGTCAGGATTAGAACATGGCTTTTCTCAATCTTAAGCGATCAAGTTAACCACTAGACTAAATTGGCTCTCCCGTGTGTATGCATTGGTATTATGTGTGTGGGGCAGGGGTGAAATGCTCCCGGTTCGGACCGGATTGCCCGATCCGGTAGCGGCGGGTGGTTCAGAGAACCGGTAGCAAAAATCCCTGCATCCCCCCCTCCACGCCCAGCGGAGCCGCAGGATCATCAGAGGCTTTTTTTTTTTTTAACTTTTAAAAGCATTTTTTCTACAATCTCTTCCGACGAAAAAATGCTTTTAAAAGTAAAAAAAAAAAAAAAGCCTCTGATGATCCTGCGGCTCAGCTGGGATAATCAGAGGCTTTTCAAAGCATTTTTTTCTGCAACCTCTTGGCTGAAGAGGTGGTTAAAAAAATGCTTTGAAGAGTCTCTGACGATCCCAGCTGAGTTGCCTGATCGACAGAGGCTTTTCAAAACATTAGAAAAAAATGCTTTGAAAAGTTAAAAAAAAAAAAGTTGGCCATGCCCACTCAGTCACATTACCCCCCCACCAAGCCACGTCCACAGAACCGGTAGTAACAAATTTTACATTTCACCCCTGGTGTGGGGGTGCATTAGAATTCATTTTAATAGGCTCTTTGTAAATTCACTATGCTCATTATTCCATTTATAATTCAAATTTGGCTAACAATCTGGTTGTTAGTCTATCAAGCCAAGATATACAGTAAAACAGGAGGTGGGCACAGTTGTCACTATTTTGTTACTAGTGTTGAACTTTGTTAATATATATTGTGATTTATATCTATATGGTTAATATATATTAACCTTTAGAGGTGATCACCTTTAAAGCGCTCCATGGCTTAGGGCCGGGGTACTTACGGGACCGTCTTCTGCCAGCAATTGCCTCCCACCGGCCAGTACGCTCGCACAGAGTGGGCCTCCTCAGGGTGCCATCCGCCAGACAGTGTCGGCTGGCGACCCCCAGGGGGAGAGCCTTCTCTGTGGCGGCGCCCGCCCTCTGGAACAACCTCCCCCCAGAGATATGTACAATATCAGACCTCCGGATTTTTCGTTGGGCCCTGAAAACTTATTTATTTCAACTAGCCAGGCTGGCTTGATCCCACAGTTTTGGGTTAAATTTTAATTTATTTTAAATTGGGTTTGTTTTAAATTGCGGCCAAAAATATTTAATTATTTTAAATTGCTTTTAAATTTTGTATGTTCTGTTTTTATTTTGGCTGTTCACCGCCCTGAGTCCTATTGGAGAAGGGCGGTATACAAATTGAAACAAATAAATAAATAAAATAAAATAAGTAATTTGGTTTATTGCTTAATAAGAAGAGATTACATATATATTTGAAAAAGCAATGGAAAAGAAATGAATGATTGTAATGTTATATATTTAACTGACTTTTAGTAAGATATTGGATTGTAATATTTGGATAAGTTGAAAAAAAATATTTGTGATTGGAATAAGGGAATTTAGGGAAACACTGGAAATTATATTATTTTGTGAAAAGGATGCAATGGGGAAATATTTGAATAGGATGATTTAGAGTTAAGGTTAACTATTAGAAAAATGATTGATTTCAAATTTAAGGGTTTTAACTTGGAGAAAGTAAGGGAAAAAATTAAATTTGATTAAGATTAGAGATTAGGGCGAATGGTAATATTGGTTATTAGAAGAAACAAGGAAAAGAAAAGAAAAATTAGAAAGAAAGATTAGTATGGCAAAAAGTGAAATATATAAATTGTGTTGGAGATAACTAAAAACTGTATAAATTTGTGACTCGGCCAATACTCTGTTCAGAAAAAATGCATTGTTATTTGTGTAAAAAATAAAAAAACTTTTACAAAAAAAATAAAAATAAACACACTCCCATCCATTCCTCTCATTTGTTTATTCTGCCCAGAGTCGATGATTAATATTCAGAACAGCTTCAGGAGCTCCACAGTATTAACAATGTGCCAGTTTGTATAAACTTGATGTTGTTTGTATGTTGAAGATTGTTAATAGAATCTTTTATTTGCTTATATTATTCCGTATCAGAGAAAAAAAACCTATTTTCTAAAACTTTCCTCAACATTTTTCTGAGGAAAAATCAGGGACTGCTATCTCTTAACTGGACAGACCTCTTCTAAAGTAACTCTATAACTCTCATGGTATTCACAAGACACTTCTTTGTTTAAACTTTTTTCCCGTTTCACTGTTGTTTCTCAGTGGCAGAAAAAGCACACTTTTTTTCCCTTTATCTCCTTGAGCTTCTTGCAGATTAGCCTGCTGTTTATCTGCAATTAACAAATCTTGCAAATCTTTCACCACCCACAGCCTGTTCATAGAAAATTGCTGGTGGTGTGAATTCACACCACCCACCCAATGCCCTTGACAGCTTTCAAAGCTCTAATTCCTCCTGATCAGTTTGCAAACATGATTTTTCCTTCACAGCAAGTTTACACACCCCACAATATAACAGGCAAGAAAATGGTAAGACAACACTTGTCCACCCTAGGTGAGTTTAAATCACTAGGACCAGATGGATTACGTCACAGAGTTCTGAAAATGCTGGCAGATGTGATCTTGGAGCCATCAAACCATATTTTTCAAAGATCCTGGAGCACCTGGGGAACTACCAGAACACTGGAAAAGAGCTGTGGTGGTTCCCATCTTCAAAAAAAAAGTGGGGAGGGGGAATAGTTACAGGAAACTACAAACCAATCAGCCTGACATCAATACTGGGGAAGATCCTGGAAAAGATAATCAAGCAACGGATCCGCAACACCTAGAAGCAAACCAAGCTATTACAAGAAGCCAACATGGGTTTATCAAAAACAGATCATACTAAATAAATCTTATTGCATTTTTTTTGATAAAGTGACTAAATTAGTGAACTAGCGAAATGCTGTGGACATATACATGGTAAGGCATCTGACAAGGAAATCCACAACCTACTTTATTGGTAAGATAGAAAAATGTGGAATAGACAGCATCACTACTAGGTGGATTCATAACTGGCTGACAAACTGCATTCAATGTGTAGTCCTCAATGGAACTACATATAAGGAGGAAAATATGCAGTATCCCAAGGTTTTGTTTTTTTAATTATTATTTATTTATTTTTAAATTTGATTTATATGCCGCCCTTCTCCGGAGACTCAGGACGGCTTACAATGCATTAAGCAATAGCCTTCATACTTTTTGTATATTTATACAAAGTCAGCTTATTGCCCCCACAAAATGGGCCCTCAATTTATCTACCTTAGAAAGGATGGAAGGCTGAGTCAACCTTGAGCCTGGTGAGTTTCGAACTTACAGTAATTGCAGACAACTGGTGTTAATCACAATGCTTTCAGTCTGCTGAGCCACCAGGCCCCTACTTAGGCCTACTACTCTTCAAGATCTGATTTAGATGACAGGATAGAAGGGGAATTCATCAAATTTGCATACGACACCAAGCTAGAGAGATAGTCAACACTTTTGAAGATAGACTCAAGATCCAGAAGGATCTTGACAAACTTGAACACTGGGCCCTATCTAACAAATTCAGTGGTGAGAAATGTAAGATTTTAGATTTAGGCAAGAAATGCCTAAATGCATAAGTATAGAATAGGTGGTACCTGGCTCAACAGCAGTAATTGTGAGAGGGATCTCCTAGTAGACAACCACAAGTTAAATATGAGCCAACAATGTGCTGCAGCTGCCAAAAAATCCAATGCAGTCCTCGCTTGCATCAACAGAGGCATATCAAGATCATGTGTCTTGGTACCACTATATAATGCCTTGGTGATACCACACTTGGAATATTGCAACCAGTTCTGGTTACCATGATACAAAAAAAGATGTTGAGACTCTACAAGAATGCAGAGAAGAACAACAAAGATGATTAAGGGTCTAGACTAGAGGCTAAAATATTTGATGAACAGTTGCAGGAACTCAGCATGTCTAGTCTAACAAAGAGGGACTAGGGGTGACATGATAGCAATCTTCCAATATTTGAGAGGCTGTCACAAAGAAGAGGGGGACAACCTATCTTCTAAGTACAGGAGGACAAGACAAGAAGTAACAAATGGAAACTTATCAAAGAGTGATCCAAACTATTCTGCATATTTCTCAAACATTTGTTCCACTTCTTTTAGGCTGGCAGTGCATATGTTGTTTCTATTTTCCCAGTTGGAGTAGCATGATGTCCCTTTCAAAAGGCATTGATCCTGGTTTGGGCACCCTTTGCTAGTTCTGGATCTAGTCATATATTTTGAAATATTTTCTATCTCAGAGTTTTGCCCAGATTCCTACTGATGGTGGTGGCAATATCATAGTTTGGGCCTGTTTTGTGCTTCTGAACCAAAACGGCACACCAGTCACTGAAAGCAAAGATTCAGATACTTTTGTCACATGCAAATATGGAGTTTTGGATGATTTTCCTCAAGTAAGTAAGTGAGTGAACAATAATAATGTTTTTATGCATTTGTTTGATTGGGTTCCCTTTATCTTCTAGTTTTAGGACTTGTGTTCATATTCATGCATAAATATATTCACAGCCATTATTAAGCGCTAGGTTCCGTTAATGAAAGAAAGAAACCAATAATCTTAACCAAGTTTAGCATATTGTGCAAAAGCTACATAAATATTTACCTATTCTGCTACAATAGCTCATGAGAAGACAAGCACAGATTCACCTTAACCGGTTAAGTTAAAAGATCTCAATACATTGATGAAGAGTTTTAATTATGATGAACCAACTAATGCTGTATTGAAAAATATATAACAGTTTTGATATTGAATCCATGGGGGGGAAGGAATCTAACTGGACCTGGGAGCACCTATATCAAAAAGAATAATCCCAAAGAGATGAGAATGACTTTGATCTTCCAAATAGCAATGACCTAGAAACAGGTTCTCTATTCTACGCAAGGAACAGGCTAGAAAGAAAAGGTGGGACATCTCGTATAACATACAATTGTATTCCTTGGCTCTTCCATAAAAAGAAAATAATAACATTTTAATACAATCATGAATTATAGCATTTGTTTAAGAATAATATATTTAACAACTCTACAGGGCAGATTAAGTAGACAATCACCCATGGGAATATCTGATTTTTCCTTTAACACTCACCGATCTCATTGCCCAATCCTGACCCCAACATGGAGCCAGCTGAGCTCACAACTGCACATGTCTTCAAGTGACCAAGTTCTTCTGCCAAACTCCTCTGAGGCAGCATACCCCTCCATATTGGTTCTGCAAAGGGTCCTTCATCACCCAACACAGTGGACACATTCACACGGCTTTTGAGCTGGCACAAGAGGTCCATCCCAGTTAGGTATGGATTGTTTAGGCGCTGCCCAGCACCTGAGGGCACCTGATACTTGTTCATTGATTGATAGTTCTGGAAGACTTGTCGAAGACGAGGGCTCAGTACTTGGGATGAAAGCTTTTTCTGCCACACAGGCCATGGTAAGGGCCGTGCTGGGAAGATGGAATGAGAAACCTTTATGAGTTGTTGAAATCCAGCAAGGACCTTCTCAAGACGTTGCCAGAACTTCCTGATTCTGGAGAAGAAAGAATCTTCTGTCAGAGTCTGTGTTGTAATTTCTAAGTTCTGGTTGACAGATCTAGCAGCTGAGGGGAGCTTCAGAGTTTTGTTTCTCTCTGAGGAAATTTGGATGTCCTGGAAGAGTGTTCTTGTAAAGTTGGAGGGCACTCCCGGATCACGGGAGCCCAAATGCAGCATTAGCCCTGTCTGTAGACAAACTAAGCTCAGCATAGTCAGACATAGCACAGCAAAACTCAGCCAAATGCAGTTTGTCCCCCACTTCCAAGGTGGTTGTACACACCATAAGGTATGTCCAGACCTGTGGAGAGATGGGCAACACAAGATTAGCCAATTTTGATTAGCATCTGGTTGGTTCTACTACCACAACATGTAGCACTGGCTGTTTCTATAATGTAGTTTCAATTACAAAATAGACTATGATTAAAATGACCTGCTAAAGGAGATCAAAATAAGTTCAACTCATCTGACATCTAATATTCCAGTGGCCAATCAGGTGGATTGTGGAAGAGAAAGTGCCAAAATTGCAGCCAAGGAACCATACGTGACACAACATCATCAATCTGGTAGCCTCCAGAATGGATGTAGCCAAAGAAAACTCTTGTTTCTCCTCTTTTTTGCATGTTGGAGAATTTAGAGAAACAAGATACAAAATGGATGTCATCAGCTTCACAGATACTTAAGGTACATATTTCACATCCACCAAAAAAAAACAGCACTAGGATCTGCTCACTTTTGGTTTACAAACCTCTACATTCAATGCAAAACCTAGAGAGGTCTTTGAGCCAAGAGATATATGGCTCACCTCTAGCATGAACACAACTACTCTTCCTTGATTGATTTTTCTGGAGCTATTCTTCCTGTATGAGCAGGTTGATTCCAGTTAACTAAAATGATTAGATTTGGATATTTAGTGTAGTTTGAATGGAACACATTGCCATATATCTGAGAGGAAAGAAAATGGCTCCAAACTGTATGGTTTGAAATGAAGGCTTTTCATGAAGAACTGGTCCCATTTCATATTCCTAGTGTTGCAGCATGCTGGAAACAGGAATAGTGCAGGGGCCATACTAAAAATGATTCCCCTCTCCCCCGTTCCATTGTTTGTGTGAAATGCATGCTAGACAAAGTTTGGTTTGGCCAACAAGACTAGTCAGAAAGAAAAGGGAGAATAAGTCTCCAATTTTGAGTGTCAAAAATTACTTGCCTCTGACAAATCTTGCTAGATTTAGACACTGATTTGCAGACTGATTTGAGAGATTGAGGTTTCTAACATCAAACATCCCAGTTTGAATTTTATCAAAGAATTTTATCCTTCTGTTCCTTCTTGCAGTGGATTATCCAATTCCCCTTGAACAATTTTTGTCACCACTAGTGGGGAGGGTCTGTGCATCCTCGGGAGTTGTGTCAGAAGATTCAAACGGAAGAATGAAACTGGTAGAAGAGTCCCTGTCATGACTGAAGCTTCGTTTTTAAAGAAAACCATTGTTTCGAACAGGAAATGAATCAAAAGGTACAATCTATGTCTCAGTCTTCTATTTGTGGATTGGAAAACCCCATGTTTTTTGGTGGCATTTTGATAATTGTAGATAGATATGCGACTGATAAATTAGATATTATTTTTTTCACTCCTGAAGGTGGTCAGAATTGAACACATATTTTAGTTGCTTTTTTTTTTAATATAATGAAAGGCCCCAATATTTCCAGCCTTTGCTTTAGCAGTTTGAGTGTGTGTGTGTGTGTGTGTGTGTGTGTGTGTGTTTCTTTCTTTTTCGTAGGTTTTATGTGTTTTATGTGTTCAAGATGTTATGCAGCCCTAGTTCAGTGAAATCACAATTCACTAGTTTCTGGGCTTTTTTTTTTTTCTCTTTCTGGCAGCCAGACATAAAACCTACGAAAAAGAAAGAAAATCAAATATTGTACCTTTACAAGAAGGATACATGAGATGAGGGTGTGGCTAACTGATGAGGCCTTATAAGGCCGAAATAGATCTATCTTAGTCTCCCAATGGGCAGCAAAGGATCTGCTGGCTGCCAGAAAGAGAAAAAAAAGCCCAGAAACTAGTGAATTGTGATTTCACTGAACTAGGGCTGCATAACATCTTGGTTTACGTAGGTAGAACCTGGCTAAAGAGAAAGACATATATATATATATATATATATATATATTCATATATGGTTATAGTAATAAGTGGGACGAGATAGATACTAGTAAGGAATAGAAGAATAATAGTAATACAGTCTTAGTAAATTATTTGACAGTGTTGTGGGAATTAGTTGTTAAGCAGAGTGATGGCATTTGAGAAAAAAACTGTCCTTGTGTCTAGTTGTTCTGGTGTGCAGTGTTCTATAGCGTCGTTTTGAGGATAGAAGTTGAAACAATTTATGTCCAGGATGTGAGGGGTCTGTAGATATTTTCACAGCCCTCTTTTTGACCCGTGCAGTATACAGGTCCTCAATGGAAAGCAAGTTGGTAGCAATTGTTTTTTCTGCAGTTCTAATTGAAGTCTGTGTTTGTCTTCTTTGGTTGCAGAGCCAAACCAGACAGTTATGGAGGTGCAGATGAGATTCATGTATGTATGTATGTAGATTCATGTATGTATGTATGTATGTATATGTGTATGTGTATATATGTGTATGTATGTATATATAGTAAAGGTAAAGGTTCCCCTCGCACATATGTGCTAGTCGTTCCTGACTCTAGGGGGCGGTGCTCATCTCCATTTCAAAGCCAAAGAGCCAGCGTTTTCCGAAGATATCTCCGTGGTCATGTGGCTGGCATGACTAAATGCCAAAGGTGCACAGAACACTGTTACCTTCCCACCAAAGGTGGTCCCTATTTTTTCTACTTGCATTTTTTATGTGCTTTCGAACTGCTAGGATGGCAGAAGTTGGGACAAGTAACGGGAACTCACCCTGTTACGTGACAGTAGGGATTCGAACTGAACTGCCAACCTTTCTACACACACACACACACACATGGTTCAGAAATATTGACTATGGCTTTTGCAAAAGATGAATCTTTTCTCATTAATCTTTGGAGGTGGTGTGATTTGTTTGTGTGTGTGTGTGTGTGTAGAATGTTAACAAACATGTGAGATTGTCTGGTAGCCATAATGTACCAGAATGTTTAGAAGAATAGAATAGAATAGAATAGAATAGAATAGAATAGAATAGAATAGCTGGAAGGGACCTTGGAGGTCTCCTGCCCTCTGGTGCTTTGGAGAATAATTTCACCCCCTCTTCTTGGTGGCAGCCCCTCAAATATTGGAATACTGCTATCATGTCATCCCTAATTCTTCTTTTCTCTAGACTAGCCAAACCCAAATCCTGCAGCTGTTCTTCATATGTTTTAGTCACCAGGCCTTTGATTGCCTTAGTTGCCCTTCTCTGAACTTTTGCCAAAATCTCAACATCTTTTTTGTAGTGTGGTGGTGACCAAACTTGGTTGCACTATTCCAGGCGTGGTCTTAGGACTAGGGCTTTATCAAGCCATACTAATACTTCAGGTGATCTTGTCCAAAACACTTTTGAGGTCCCCGCTCCACCCCTCCCCTCCCCGAAAGGATTTTGAGCGAGAAAAGAGGGGGGAGAGCGGGCTAAGGGGTCGCGAAGCCGAAACGAGGATCAGATGCGAGACCACTGGATGGTGAGATGGAAACAGCCAGCGCTCTTTGGTGAGGGATGCGAAGGCTCGAAGGGATCGCCTGCGCTGCGACTGGGGGCTGTGGTAGGGATCGCCTCCCACTCCCCTCCTCTCTCCTCCCCCGCACCTTATTCTTCTTACTCTCGGCAAATCCCTACCCAGAAGGATGGGGGGGGGGGATGGGGGAGTCCGGGAGGTTTTCTCTCCGAGGAGCCGCTGCACCGGGCTTGTCCCCTCTGGAGTTTGGGGTGGGGGTGGGGGAATAGAGACGCAGCCTGGCCTTGTTGGGATGCAGCAGAGGTGGGGCTCGTTGCAGAAGCTCCCTCAGTCCCAAGCCAGCACTCTTATGGCTCCTCTCCTTCGGGAACCATCTCTGGTCTCCAGCTCAGGATAACGGCGCCCAACGCTTCTATTTCGGAGACGGGGGAAGAGAGGCCATCAGCTCACAGGAGACGGCAAGGAGAAGCACCTGGCCTCCGGACCCAGACAAACGCTCCCACCGGGTCTTACTGGCATCCCGTGTTGCTCAGGTGGCTACAGGGAGACCCTCTGGAAGGTCTCTAGGCTGCAGGGACAAGGAATGGGCTCCTCTGGCCTCCTGGTCCTTTGGGTTTTGCTCCTTTCCCTCCTAGGGTCTCCAGGAGTTCCCCTTGTTGAGGTGGGAAGCGGTCAACAGCTCTAAGGCTTACCTTCTCCGTATCAGCATCTCTCCTTAGTGGCTCTGAACCGTAATGGGTCCAGAGGGAACGTTTCTGGGTCACAAGGAGGTACACTACCAGGAGACAAGTGGCGCTACTGAGAGTCAGCTGCTGCTCCTCTCTCACCCTGCAAAGTCACCCAGGATGTCAGCTGGATCCTCACTTCTATCAGGAACAAGCAGAATCTAAAGATGAGGGTGCAGGTTCGTTCTCCGAGCTTGTGGGTTGGTTGCTGAATGTTTCAGTACCAGGCTAAGTAATATCTTCGGAGTTCAGGTGATGTCAGTGTTCTTCCATTTATAAGGGCTTCATGTGGTCAGTAGGTCTTGGGATGGGCCAGATGTGGGTGTGTCAAGTGAGGGTCTTGGGATGGGTCAGGTGTGAGTCATCAGTGACAGTTTTGTGATGGGGAGGTTACATCAGGTGAAGTGCTGGTGTGGGAGGGGGGAAGGGTTGCCTGGATTTGGTTGAGTGTCAGTGCTATCTTCGGTTAGCTGTGTGTGGTTGATTTGGATTCTGGGCAGTTGTAGGTCAGTGTGTTGATGGAATTGATTGTGGAGTGCCAGGCTTTGATGAGTTCACAAGTGTGGCAGGTAGCATAGCATAGCCAATTATTTTTGTGTTGTTCTAATCGAACTGGTGCTGTTTGGTGTCGGTGTGGATAGAGATTAAGGATTTGGGATCATGGCATTTGACTGCCAGCCAGTGTTCATGGATCCTGTTTTTTAATTGATGTGATGTTTGTCCCACGTAGAAATGATTGCAATAGTTACAGTTGATTTTGTACCATACATTGCTTTTTTTATCCTTTTATCTTATCTTGTTTTTGGTTCTGGATAATTCCTGCGGAGTGTGGGTGTGGGTTTGTGGGCTGTTGCTATTCCTAGAGGTTGGAGAATTCTGGCTGTCATTTCCTACATCCCTTTTGTGTATGGTAGGGTTAGTTTTTTGTGTGGTGGTTGGCTGTGTGGTGTAGTTTGGGTGTTGTGTGTCAGAATATAGAATAACAGACTTGGAAGGACCTTGGAGGTCTTCTAGTCCAACCCCCTGCTTAGGCAGGAAACCCTATACCACTTCAGACAAATGGTTATCCAATCTCCTCGTAAAAACTTCCAGTGTTGGAGAATTTACAACTCCTGGAGGAAAGTTGTTCCACTGATTAATTGTTCTATTGCAGGAATTTTCTCCTTAGTTGCTAATCAAGTTGCTTCTTTTCTTGATTAGTTTCCACCAATAGCTTCTTGTCCTGCCCTCAGGTGCTTTGAAGAATGGGTTGACTCCCTCTTCTTTGTGGCAGCCCCTGAGATATTGGAACAATGCTATCATATCTCTAGTCCTTCTTTTCATTAGACATACCCAGTTCCTGCAACTGTTCTTTATATGTTTTAGCCTCCAGTCCCAATATGAAGTTTTTGAGATAGCCGTTATGGAGAAAGACATCGAGCACCCATTTCTCGTTTTTCTTAGTAGTGTTGTGCTGCAGTGTGTCCTGGCCCTTCTGAACAGGGCCTGGACACAGCTTCTTTTGTGTGCTGTGGTGTGGTTGCTTGTGAAGCTAAAGAGCCTAGAGACTGGTTGGCACCCAAAAAAGGCGATCCTTCTCAGGGAAGGCTGCAGCAACAAACTTGAAAATCCTCCCCCCACCCCAAGAAAAAAAATTGTGCTGAGGGCAAGTGAGCAGCTTTCATCCTCTGTGTTCAAGTAGCATATTTAGGAATACTTAAACTATAGCCCTAGTTTAATTTCCAGTGTGTATTTCACTAAGAAGTTACAAAGCTTTGCCACTATTCTTCTGGAAGCACCACTGCAACGGGAACTCCCTCCACTTGGAAAGGGAGGGAGCAAGAGAAAAAGAATCACTTTGTTCCTTCATCCAAGCAGCAAAGAGACCCTTTAGCGGACAACGTATATATGAAAATATATACAATAAGAAAAGGAACTCTCTTGCAAAAAAAAAAAAAGCTAAACAAACATAAAATGTATTTCACTAAATCTAATGTATATGAAGCGCTATCATTCAATATAGCACTCTGTACCTTTCTGTCTTTGCAAATATTATCCCCGCCATATCCATGCCTAGCTTTATAAATTACCTTTTCCACTTTAAACTTTTTGCCTGCTTCTGAAGATGTTATAAAACATCACCACTTTCTCAACTTTCTTTCACTATTTTGCTCTTCCTTCATATATTTCTCATTCATTTTGCCTAAATAATTGCACTGAATCTACATTCAGCACCGTTTAGTTCTGAGCCTACCTCTCTTGGCATTCTCAATGGATTGAAATAGTCCATTCCCACTACAATCCACTTACCTATATATCAAACTCTCACTTCCATATTACAAAGGGATACCGATGTACACAATTCACTTTTTTTCCTAGTAAATATTCAGTCATAACTCAAATCTCATACAGCATTTCATTTTGTGATCTTTCAAAGTTACATCACTGAAAAATGTGACTCATGACCGTTTTTCACACTTACGACTATTGCAGCATCCCCATGGTCACATGATCAAAATTCAGATGCTTGGCAATGGATTCATAATTATGACAGCTGCAGTGTCCTGGGGTCATGTGATCACCTTTTGAGACTTGACTTCTGAGAAGCAAAGTCAATGGGGAAGCCGAACTCAGTTAACAACTGTGTTACTGATTTAACAACTGCAGTGATTCACTTAACAGCTGTGGCAAGAAAAAAATAAAATGGGACAAAATTCACTTAGCTGTCTTGCTTAGCAACAGAAATTTTGGACTCCGTTGTGGTCATAAGTCAAGGACTACCTGTAGACTCTCTGGTCTTTTCTGTGAAGAAATAAACCCCCTGCCCCCATCCTCCTTTTAACAGAATCCAGCAGAAGTATTTTATGTTTGTATTTACAGTTTTTGGAAGAACTCTGCATCTCCATGTGCCTGGGTGAGGATGTACAGGCACCCACATGACCAGAAGTAATTTTCCAGCTTTTTTTGTGCTGTTTTTTTCAGTGAATGCATTCTCAAACTGCTTAGCAAAATGACCCCACATCTCATCTCATGTTCAACTACCATGCCAGTTGTGTCTTCTCTTATTTCAGCATATACAGGTGGGGAAAAAAGTGAAGTGCCAATCATTAAGCTAGAAGAAAAGGTCAGCCACCAAGAACATGTAGCAGAATAGATATTTGCTAATAATTTACAAAACAGAAACATACATTATAGGTAAAATTCACAACAGAGGCAACAAGATCCCTCAAAGTCATATTCTTTTGCCAACAAGTGATTACGTCTCATCTGTGAAAATGACCATCCGGTTCTGGCTTTAGTCTCTAACTGCTTTAGTCTCCCACTGAAAAAACAGTTGCCATAGAAAGAACTCGGTAGCCTTGAGTTAAGGGGGCCAGAACAGTTGCCATAGATGGCAAAGAGTTGGGGCTGTTTCATAGCTCTGGGTTCTTCAGTTTCTGCGTCCAAACATGCAACTGTCCTTGTTCTCTTCTACTGGTTGCTTCTGGTCGAATAGTGCAGCTTAGCTTCTTGCAAGAAGTTCTGGAAGGCAGGTTCTTCATGGCTTTCCTCCGTCACTATAGCAGAAAAGAGAAGAGATGTGTTAGCAAAGTGGGTCTCACTAATGCCTTAGGACCTAAATTTCCCTCATAGAAACCAGCATTACCACAATCCTTTGCTGGATTGTACAATGGATATAAAACAGAGTTTTTATTTATTTATTGAATTTCTACGCTGCCTATCTTTCTAATACAGTAACTCTGGGTAGCTTACAATATAATAAAAGTTAAAAAGTGCAAAAAAGAATTTAAAAGTTACAAATTAAAAACCAAGATGATGGGCAGCATGGGACAGAGAATCTTCTCTATCCCATCAGCCACTCCCAATGTAGTGGGTCCCTGTAGAGGGCCCAGGCCAAGCAGCAGAGCCAAGTTTTTAGGCCAGGAGTTTGGAGGTGGATCTCACCTCTGATAGGAGAATATTCCAGAGGGCAGGGACCATAACAGAAAAGGCTCTTCACCTGGACTCCACCAGCCAAAATTTGGCGGCCAATGGGATACAAAGTAGGCCCTTTCCACTGGAACAAGTAGGGCAGGTTAATGCCAACCCCCGATACCCTGGACCCATGCCATAAGTGGACTTTAAAGGTAATGGACTTTACTGTTAGAAACTCCATGTAAAGCAACTGATGGAAAAATGCTGCCACCCTCCTTCTTGGCTTGCCTCTTGCAATTTTTAATTCCTCCTATTCCTTCAGAGCTTTAATTACCTTCATGATCAATGTCATCAGTATCACTGTCCTGGGCCTCTTCTTCCTCTTCTTGTGGATCCAAAGTTCCTCGTGTCAAAATCAGTTCTGATGAGCTTAATGAAGATTCTGCCAGTGAACCTTTGAACCAAAATCAAACCAAAAAGCAATTTTTCAATTTCTTCCTGTGCAGTAGGATGAACACCCTGTCCAGGAGTTCCTCAAACAATACAAAGTCAGAAGAGGGTGTATAAACATGATGCCTAAATGAGGGCTCTGGGCAAGGCAGCAACAACAGTTGCTTAGTCCTACAGCATAATATCTTGCCTGATGAAGTGCCATACCCCACTAGGTAAGTGCCATAAGTGTATCCAAATTCTACCAGCAGCCCTTCCTTTTCGTCTTCTGCGCTTCTCTGTGAAACCCAACTATTTCCCATATCAACTACTATATCCTCAAATATTTAGTGGAGCAGATAAAATGATGCCAGCTATGAACCTGAACATACTTCTAAATACTGCTCGGTGGCTTGTTGGCTTATTTATGAATCAACGTTATATAGGGGTCCATTTCACCAAAGGTGATTCTGGGCAGCACACAACAAAATAAAAGAATGTAAAAAAAATTACAGCTATAAGAATCCATGCTAATAAATATCATAAAAAATAAGATACAAACCCTAGGTGGTGATGGGGATAAAAATGCTCATCACAGCATTTGAGCCATGTCAGCAAGTCTCCTGTACCTTGGGAGCCCCAGGCCTGATAACATAACGAGGTCTTGAGGCCTACCAAAAGGGATGGAGCTAATCTAATTTTTTGGGGGGAGGGAAGGATGTTCCACAAGGCAGCCCATCATGCCATGGATGGCACATCTCTCCTTGGGCCAACCAAATGTAGTGGGACCATAGTTGATGGGACCCACAACATGCCAGATCTGCTGGGGGGGAAGGGCTGATATAACCAGGGAGAGGCAGTCCTTCAGAGAGCCTGATCCCATGCCATGAAGGACTTTAAAGGTTAAAAGTGACTCCCTGAATTGGACTTGGAAGCAAACTGGCAGCCAACGCAGCTCGCATAGTAGAGGTGTAGCATGCTGTTCTAGGAGTGTACATAACTGCCCATACCACTGTATTCTGTACCAGATGAAGCTTATAAATGCTTTTCAGGGACTGCCTCAGTCTCTGTAGAGGTTCTCATGTACCTGAAACTGCTGGGCTGTTCTCCATAGCAACAGGCCCCATATCTCTCCGTAAACTTTTCAGTTGTTCTTCCTGCTGCTGCTTCTGAGCTCTTTCCTGTAAATGAAGAGAGAGCATTCCAG